ACATACTAAGGGATTATAAAAACATTAAAGATTCCTTAAAGATTCGGTTATCGAACCATCAGGGACTCTCTGATGACCGTTAGATTGTGTCAACAATCCTGAAGATCGACGGTTGTCGTGAGATATAGAGCACAACTTGGACTATGCCAAGATAAGATTCCTCTCACTTGTGCATTCAAGTCCAACCAAATTTTGTCTTTTCCTTACTTTTTGTTTTCTCCTACCTTACTTGAAATAGTATATTTTGTATTCTTCTATAGATTTTTTAAAATTTGTTGTACATGATGAAGATATTAATAATCAGATAATTTCAGGTTAATGGGCCGGATCTAAATATTTTAGAGGCCCACGAACATAAGAGGTCCATTTATTATGTGAATTAAATGATCTTAAACAAAATTGCCCAAAACAACTCACCTTTATTTCAAGGATCCGTGTTGTACACGGGCTAATCAAAAAATGTTTATTTTATAAAAATTTTAGTAAGTTTTTTGCAATTGTACAAATATTATATTGAATTTCAATTGAACCAACTATAAATATCATATTTAGTTTTGAAACCCTAAATTTCTTTACTCCGATTCTAAAAATGCATGAAAATGCATGTAGTATGAATAGTCATCTAACGGCTAATATTGCATAACATGGGTGAGTGAGGTTTAAGATTATATTTTTTTTTATATAAATAAAAAATCATCGGAATTGGAGAAAATCTCTATCTTCGTCGATGAAGAAGCAGAGTAAGAGCAAAACAAATTAACAAGGAACAAGAAGAATAAATTCAACAATTACCGATGATGATTACCAGCAACAAGAACAAATTCATCAAATATCGATTATTATTAGTATTACTATGTTATACGATTTTTTTGAGGATTAGAACGACAAACAACAAAACAAAATTCATGAGTTTGATGAAAATTTGGGAGAAAAACGGCACATATTAAGTGGTTTTATCTTTAGTTTAGAAGTGGTTCAAATCTCTTTTTATAAAGAGATGAACAAAGTTGATTGATCTTTTTCATATTCTTCTAGTTCTTGAGTTTTGTATGAGTTGTAAAGAGCTCTTGTGTTTCCTTTTATTCTCTATGATGTGTTTCTTTTGGAAATCAAGCTTACGATTTGAACTCATCATCATCACTTTATAGATATCTAATTTTTTTGATATTGCATAAGTTGTACAAAATTTGCTCGTTAAAACAATTGATTTTGACTCTACTTAGGGGTGTCAAAATGGATAAACCGATTCAAACCAATCCATAATCCAATGAGTTTGGGTTTAAATGGTTTATGAGTTTATGGCAGAAAATTATGTATTTTTCCTGCCAAAAATGTACTCCTCTCCTCGATCAGTCCTCAGACATTTGATTGCCTTCACCGTTTCAGTTTCAACCTTCCTCTTAAACAACTTAAAGTGGTTGAAAGCCTCTGACTTCTCTTTCAGAAAATACACCCATAATCTTGAGGCAATTAGATGCAGATAACATATGGTTATGGGATTTGGAGAATAACCATGTTCCACACGACATAGACCCTGCTAACATGTATTCTCTAATGAAAGCTGGTCTGCAAAGTGAAGGATTCTCTGGTCCTCTAACTGTATATGCGGTATGCGCCAATGATGTTCTCACTAAAGGGGCAGTAGTCATTGATGGAAGTGTACTTAAGGGTATCAATTTTCACCGGATTCAAGGAAGTTAGTAACTTTTCCCTGTTTTTCTGTAACTTAGTAGTCATCTTTGTTTTAACTTTGATTAGTACCTTAGTAGTCATCTTTTGTGTGTTTTCTTCAGAGGAAGGGGTACTTGACGCTAGTGACGATTGGCTGAAAGAGAAATTGGCTGCTTGGAGAGAGGAGGATATTAATCGTCCCCCCAAAAACGTCACATTCATCACAGGAGATGGCGGTTACGAGGATGCAGTCACAACAAGTTTGGAGGTATAAAATCCTTATGTTCCATTGTGATAATCCATCTCTTAATATCTCATGTATTTCCCTTACTTACTCTTAATCTCTCTTAATTTCGTAGCTCTTTCTAGGGAAGACGAGAATGAGGAGACGGAAGATGAAGAAGACGCCGGAGAAGCAGAAAAAAAGAAGAAGACAGAGACGTCAAAGTCTGATTAAAAAAAACAAAGAAGAAGAGAAGAAACATAGCGCATTAAGTAGATATATTATCTTGAATTAGTCAATCTTTTGCCTTGCTTTTACCTTGACTTAGTGAATTTTTGCATGCCTTGGCCATAATATAAACACCGAATTAATAGTTGATTTTTCTGGTTTGTAAACTAATAAAACCGTACATACTATGAACAAGTTTGGGTAAAAAATACTTCAACCGAACCGGACCGAATCGAAAGAAGAGGAACCAAATTAAACCAATATGAAAAGGATTGACCTCATTTCAGTTTCATGTCACTCCTCGATCAGTCCTCAGACATTTGATTGCCTTCACCGTTTCAGTTTCAACCTTCCTCTTAAACAACTTAAAGTGGTTGAAAGCCTCTGACTTATCTTTCAGAAAATACACCTCTGATTTTGAATCACGTTTTTGGCAGGAAAAATACATAATCACGTTTTCGGTGGGAAAATTACGGAATTATGTTTGGCGGGAAAATGTGAAATCATTTTTGGCAGAAAAATGATGAATCACGTTTTTGGCGAAAAAATTAAGTAATCACATTTTTGGCGGAAAAATTACGGAATTATGTTTTTGGCGGAAAAATGTGACATCGCGTTTTGGCGGGAAAATTACAAAATTATGTTTTGGGCTTGAAAATTACGGAATTATGTTTTTGGCGGGAAAATGCTGAATCGTGTTCTTGGCGGAAAACTTACGGAATTATGTTTTTAGCGGAAAAATGTGAAATCATTTTTGGCGGGAAAATACTGAATCACGTTTTTGGCAGAAAAATATGTAATCACATTTTTGGCGAAAAAATTATGGTTTTATGTTTTTGGCGGGAAAATTAAAATCGCGTTTTGGCGGAAAATGCTGAATCATGTTTTTTGCGGAAAAATATGGAATCACGTTTTTGGTGAGAAAAATATGGAATCACGTTTTTGGCGGAAAAATTACGGAATTATGTTTTTGGCGGGAAAATGTGAAATCGAGTTTTTGCGGTAAAATACAGAATTATAGTTTAGAAATTCTTGTTGGTCGTCTTATTCTACAATTATTTCTGATATTGTTTTGCATTAAAAAAAAATTGTAAGTTCAATTATATAAAAGAAAATTTTACTACTCGAGAGCCCTATTGACTACTGATAATAACAGCTTCCGAGAAATCAAGGAACTTAAGCCATAAGTCATCTATCTGCTCCAGAGCTGGCTAACCAAAAGGTTTGTGCTCTAGTAGGTCAAAACCTAATTGCCTACCTCTTTTGTACATTTTATTAAGTTTAAATGGTCAGTTTAATCTTGTAAATAAGACAGAAATGATTGCTATAAATATATGATGATAATCATAAGTAGTAAGAGCATTTCTAAACCATTTCTTCATTAAAATAAAATAAAAATTCTATTTTAGAGTTGATTTTTCTTTAATCCTATTTAATTTAAACTTTAAAGCAAATATTTCCAAATTTTAGTGTAAATTGAAAATTGGAATTCTCTTTAGAATTGAAAATAAAAATGAATTGGAAAAAATCATACTTTAAGTAAAATTTTTGAGATGAACTGGAGATGGTAAAATCTTAATTAATAAATAGGATGTTCTTTCAAATGTGTTTGGAATATATTTGTTATTTTGTAAAACATAACGTATCATCGACTAAAATATTTGCTAATTTGTAAAACACATGCCGTATATAATTTATTCTACGACCGATGTGGACATATTTTCAACATTCTTTTTTCAACTAGACTGTTAATAATTGTAATAATTGCAAGGGAAAACGACCTTTGTCCTTCTAGAAAGTTTCATATAGTATCACAACTATACAGAATTCGGACTTCGATCGCTGTCCACACAGATTCAAAGTTACGCTCATGTGTCCCCCTAAATCAAAAGTTCGACACCTCCATCTCCAAAATTTTGAATTTCGTGGTTTATTCCCGGTTTACTGTACCAAAAACACCATTAACCGCATAACAAAGAAAATAAACCGGATTTACCCACAAACCAACCCGATTATAACCCGATAATTTAAAACCCTCAATTCTCAAAATCCCCAATTCTTAAAATCCCTAATTAGAAGAACCCTAAAAACTCAGAAAACTCAAATTGGAGATTTCGATTGATGGATTCAAATGAGTTGGAGCCGCCGTCGTCTGCTGTTATCGTTCATCACCAGTCTTCCGAGTCTGTTCCGCAATCAGAAGAAGGAGAAGGAAATCCGATACCAAAACCAGACATTGAACCCGACGATGAAGACCCACTAGAGCGAGACCAGTTTGAAATCGAGAAGGCATGTACGGAGTTTAGAGACGAGCCTGAGCCTTCGATTATTCACGACGAGTATCCGGAGAGTGACAGTGATGAAGATGACGAATGTGCTCGGGAGAGAAAGCGTGACAACATCAGCCGTGGAGATGGGAATCTGTACTATCACCAGACATTCTTCAACAGCATTGGGTTTAAGGAAGTTGTACTTGACCATGCCTTGAAGACAGGATGCAACATTGCACAATACAGGTATGATCAAGATAAGGTTGCCTTTAAGTGTGATGGGGATGGATGTATCTGGCGGATATATTGTTCCATCACTAAGAAATGTCGAAAGTGGAGGGTTAACGTGTTCAAGGATGTTCATACATGTAATCCGAATGGAGATTGTGAGATGATGAAGGTTCCTGTCATTGCTAGGTTGTTTTTAGATAAAATTAGAGAGGAACCTGAGTACTTTTTGCCTAAGAAGATTGAACAAACCATCAAAGAAAAGTGGAAGATCACTGTATCCAGGCCTCAATGTCAAGCTGCAAGGAGAACCGCATTGCGTTTGATTGAGAGAGAATATGATGAGCAGTTTGCAAGGCTCCAAGATTATGCAGCAGAGATAAGAGATTCAAATCCAGAATCGACTGTTGCAGTTGAAACTGTGACTAATGATGCTGGACAAGAGGAGTTCAACAGGTTTTATGTATGCTTCCATGTGATCAAGAAAACTTGGATAGAGTCTTGTAGGCCATTGATAGGAGTAGATGGAACATTTATAAAAGGGAAGGTTAAGGGGCAGTTGCTGGTTGCTTTAGGTAGAGATGCAAACAATCGTATATATCCAATAGCCTGGGGATGTGTACAAGTAGAAAACATAGATAATTGTGTGTGGTTTGTTCAAAAGCTGAAGTTTGACTTGGGACTGATGGATGGTGATGGTTATATCATTGTTTCTGATCGCCAAAAGGTATTAACCATTGTGATTTTGAGTGAAGTTATTCATGTTGTTGTTGTGGCTACACAAAGCACTTAATAACCTCTGGTTTATTTTTTGCAGGGTCTAATCCGAGCTGTGGAGCTAGAGCTGCCAAAGGCTGAACATAGAATGTGTGTCAGACACATCTATGGAAACTTGAAGAAAAACCATGGCAAAGATAAAGAGATGAAGATGTACATTTGGGATTTGGCATGGAGCTACAATGAGAGTGCTTATGAAGCAAACCTTACAAGGCTTTACAACTATAATGTGGCTGTCTGGCGTGATGTTGTCAAGTCAAAACCAAAAACTTGGTGCAGGGCGTTTTACAAGCAAGGAAACTTCTCTGAAGATGTTGAGAATAACTCAACTGAGTCATTCAACAACTCAATTGTGAAAGCTAGGGACAAACCGTTTGTGCCAATGCTTGAGACCATCAGGAGACTTGCAATGGTCAGGATTGCCACAAGGATGTGTGAATCTCATGAGCACAAAGGGAGATGCACACCATATGTTAGTAAGTTTCTTGCCAAAGAATTTGAGAAAGCTTCGGAGATGACTCTAAGAAGAAGCACTAATGACATGTATGAAGCTACCAGAGGATTAGATACTCATAGGATAAGCTTGAATGAGAGGACATGCACTTGTCAGAAATGGCAAATCTGTGGCATTCCTTGTGAGCATGTTTATGGAGTCCTGCTAGACAAAAAACTTGAAGTTGAAGACTATGTGTGTCACTGGTTTAGGACACCTATGTGGAAGAAGAATTACACAGACGGCATATTTCCACAGAGAGGACCAGCTTATTGGCCATCAACAGAGCACCCTAATGTGCATGTACCACCACCACCACCGCAGCCTGGGAGAAAGAAAGGAAAGGAGAGTAAGAAGGATAAGAAGAGGAAAAAGGGAAAGTATGAATCTCCTACCAAGAAGGCACCAAAACAGATGAAAAGGGTAATGCATTGTGGTGTTTGTGGTGCAGCTTGCCACAACTCAAGGTTTCACAAGAAGAAGTCTTCTGCACAGGTTAGCAATATAATTCGGTGTTTCACCTATTAGAATTTGCTCTGTTTTATAGTTAGTTACTGACCCTTGTTTTGTTTTATTGTCTTAGACCTTTGAAGGAGTGTTGTCTACAGGTCCTGCCATTCAAGGCACTCAAGGCAGTCAAGTGGAACCATCTTAAGGAGTTGTGATGTCTCAAGGATGAAGGATTAGAAAGATTAGAGAATTAGGTGTTGGATGGGTCTAGTTTTTATTTTCCATCTGATTTAACGGCTATGTAACTTTTGTTATCCATCTAATTAAGACTTAGCGGCTATGAACTTTTGGTTTGAATTGTCAGACATGATTGAACCAATTTAAGCATTTAAGGAATCCATTTTGGTCTCAGTTTTGGCTATTTTCTCTTTGTTTAGTGATAATGAAGCACAAGAACTAGATACAAATAACAAGTACAACAACAGGCACAAGACTCCAAATTTTGTTTTCATTACACTAACATAATCATGCTTGATACAAACAGACAACAAGCACAACAATTCAAATATGAGAAAACAACAACAAGAACAGAGACCAAACTACATACCAAGAACAACAAGCCAATACACTCGTCTCAACCTATCATCTTACTCAAACCAAGCATGATCATACAACCTACAATGACAGCAATCGACATTTTCTTCATGCTTGATTTGAAATCCAAGAGTTCTTCTTCTACCCTCTCAAAAATCTCTTTCTCTAGCTTCATTTGCATCCTCTCAAAAACTATCTTCTGGTGATCCATAGTCTCTGTTGTAATCTGGGACATGCTTTGTTCAAGTGCAGACGTTCTTACAGCCAATCTCTCTATCTCATCTAACAATGCTTCGTCAACCCACTTGAAGGTGTGGTTATCATCGATAAGCTACAGAGAACAGAGAAATAAAATCAAAATTTGTTACAAACAACCCAAATATCTATCACATTACCTTATGTGATGCAGCGTAAGCACAACGATAGTAACGACGGTATGGATTTGCAGCTGACTTTGAAATGATCGCCGAGATACTAGCTCCACACCAACAGATCTTCGGCACACCCACAATTCTTCTTCTATGTCCGCCATTTGATGCTCCACTCGTAGCTCCGGATGAATTGCTCATATTCGAGCTCAGAATTATGTTTAAGATTGAAATCGAAGATGATGAAGAGGAAAAATCGAAACTAGGGTTCTTAGATTTCTAAATTTGGGGATTCTGGGATTTGTTTCGGGTTGTTATAACTGGAATCAGATTTCAATTCGGTTTATTCTACTGGGTATTGGTTTGGCATCGGTTTGGTACAGTAAACCAGGAATAAACCACGAAATTCGAAATTTTGGAGATGGAGGTGTCGAACTTTTGATTTGGGGTGACACATGAGCGTAACTTTGAATCTGTGTGGACAGCGATCGAGGTCCGAATTCTGTGTAGTTGTGATACTATGTGAAACTTCTTAGGGGGACACATGTCGCTTTCCCTAATTGTAATGACTACTCCAATTCTTCTTTTTCATTTAAATCAAACATGTAGAAGTAGAATACTTGATTTGTGGCTAGTATATTTCATGGGTCACCATCCAAGTTCAAAGCAAAGTAATGTTTGTTATTGAAATTAAAAAAAAAAAAAAAAAAAAAAAAACAGAATCTACTGTCCATAAATTTATTGTTTTTCAAAATTTTGTAAGACTTCAATTAATAGATTTATGCTCCATTGAAACATCAATAATTCATCATGATAATTCTTATACGACCAATGGAATTTCTTTTATAATATTTTAGACGTAGACGATATGTTATGGCGACTCTCATGTCGTTTGAATTTACATATTAGATTTTGAGTTTGTGAAAAATATAATTAAGTTAAAAATTGGGTCCACCCACACACTCCACACTATTCGAAGGTCATGAAAAGGGACTTTCTCATGTTTGATAATTGATATGATTATGATCCTTGACATTATAAAAATTCAACGCATCTCGATATAAATAGCTGCCATATTTTGATTTTTCTATTAGTCAAACTCACATTTGATCCTTATCTAAAATTTCCAACGTCATAACTTGAGATTAGTCCAACTGACTCAAGCGAAAGGTTTCAAACTCTTGCTACTTGGTTCAGATTCATTCAGCAGTAATTTCACTATCTTCGATGGGTATTGGTCTTTGCTTCATTTGAGTTTCAAAAATCTTTGACTACTTCTCACATTACTTTCATTCATCTTTTTGTACTATAATCTGTACGTAACTTTCGAATGATATATATGGTGAATGAATAAAGTAATATTTAGAAGAAGAATAAAAATATAGTGGTGGAAATTGAGTGGTTACTGGTTAGATATATTTTTTATCAATACGAAGAAATGGTGGTATTCATATGTCACGTCTTGATTAACAGCCAAAAATTATTCCAAAAAAGTCGCATACTAAAATATGTAATATACTAGGAAAATAATAATTACACAGTATATCTATTACACACAATGCAATCGATATTTTTCTTTAGTAAGAAACTCTCAAGTCTCAAATCTTCCCTCTGTATTAAACTGTACTAATACAACAATGAGACCAAATATTTCAAATTACAAACCCAAATCCAAAAAGTCATAAAGTTTGACTGGAAAAAAAAAACACTAATTGTAGACTAATAAAATCAAACCTTTTATGAAAGCTTTTAAACAAATGTCATTATTTATCAAACCCCAAATATGATAATTAATTCTTTTAGTATCAATTTGTAACCTATGTTAATACTACAATAACACGCTGCTCTCTGTATTATTAACTCATTAATACGTATATGTGACGAGACCAAAAGTACAAAAGTCCAAAGTACAAACTCAAATCCCAAAAAGTCACAAACTTTGACAAAAAAACAGTAAACAGAGAATAAAAAAAAAAATCAAACCTTTGCCTCAAGCTTCCAACTTTCCTTTCAACAACTGTCTTCATTGCCTCTTTATCCCCAAAATTATGACAACAAACCTCACGCGTAGCTTCTTCTTCGTCTTCGTCTTCGTCTTCTTCCTCTACAATGAAAGCTCTTCTCTTTCTTCTCACCCTTTTCCTCATCCTTCCAAACCCAATTTCAGCCATTGATTTCGTCTTCAACGGCTTCAATGACTCTTCATCTAATGTCTCCCTCTTCGGGATCGCAACAATCGAATCAAAAATCCTAACTTTAACAAACCAAACATCGTTTGCAACTGGTCGTGCTCTATACAGCAAAATCATCAGGACAAAAGATCCAATCACTTCCTCTGTTTTACCTTTCTCTACTTCTTTCATCTTCACCATGGCTCCTTTTAAGAACACGCTTCCTGGTCACGGCATCGTCTTCCTCTTCGCACCCACCACTGGAATCAACGGTTCTAGCTCTGCTCAACACTTAGGTCTCTTCAATTTGACTAATAATGGTAACCCTAGTAATCACATCTTTGGAGTTGAGTTTGATGTTTTTGCTAATCAAGAATTTAGCGACATCGATGCTAATCATGTCGGAATTGATGTTAATTCACTTCATTCAGTCTATTCGAACACTTCTGGTTATTGGTCTGATAATGGAGAGTTTAAGCCATTGAAGCTTAACGATGGAAGAAATTATCAAGTTTGGATTGATTATAGAGATTTTATAGTTAATGTTACTATGCAAGTTGCTGGTAAGATTAGACCTAAGACTCCTTTGCTTACTACGTCTTTGAATCTCTCTGGTGTTGTGGAAGATGAGATGTTTGTTGGATTCACTGCAGCTACAGGGAGATTGGTTCAGAGTCATAAGATTTTAGCTTGGAGTTTTAGTAATTCGAATTTCTCTTTGAGTGATAGTTTGATCACTACTGGTTTGCCTTCGTTTGTTTTGCCTAAGGATTCGATTCTTAAAGCTAAATGGTTTGTTTTTGTGTTGGCATTGATCTGTTTCTTGGTTGTTGCGGTTGTGGGTTTGGTTTTGTTTGCTGTGGTGAGAAAGAGATTGGAGAAGGCGAGGAAGAGAGCGTTGATGGAGGATTGGGAAATGGAGTATTGGCCTCATCGGATTCCGTATGAGGAGATTGAATCCGGGACTAAGGGGTTTGATGAGAAGAATGTGATTGGGATTGGTGGGAATGGGAAAGTGTATAAAGGTTTGTTACAAGGAGGAGGTGTGGAAGTTGCGGTTAAGCGGATTTCGCAGGAGAGTAGCGACGGGATGAGGGAGTTTGTAGCTGAGATCTCGAGTCTTGGGCGGTTAAAGCACCGGAATCTAGTTTCTTTAAGAGGTTGGTGTAAGAAGGAGATTGGTACTTTCATGCTGATATATGATTACATGGAGAATGGAAGTTTAGACCGATGGATATTCGAAAATGATCAGAAGAAAAGTACGCTTAGCTGTGAAGAGAGGATTCGGATTTTAAAAGGTGTAGCTTCAGGAATATTGTATTTGCATGAAGGATGGGAATCTAAGGTTTTACATAGAGACATTAAAGCGAGCAATGTGTTGCTTGACCGGGATATGATACCAAGGCTTAGTGATTTTGGGTTAGCTCGGGTTCATGGACACGAGCAAGCGGTTAGGACCACGAGAGTGGTTGGTACAGCTGGCTATTTGGCTCCTGAAGTGGTTAAGACTGGGCGTGCATCGACACAAACCGATGTTTTTGCTTACGGGATACTGGTTCTTGAAGTAATGTGTGGGAGAAGACCTATTGAAGAAGGGAAGAAACCGTTAATGGATTGGGTTTGGGGATTAATGGAAAGAGGTGAGATTCTAAATGGGCTCGATCCACAGATGATGATGACACAAGCCATTGATGAAGCTGAAAGAGTTTTGCAGCTTGGATTGCTTTGCGCACATCCTGATCCGGCCAAGAGACCTTCGATGAGACAAGTGGTTCAAGTGTTTGAAGGTGACAAAGCTGAGATATTTGAAGCGGACAGTAGTGAAGATGTTGAATCATGGATGTTGAAGAAGATGGGATCTGGGGGAAACTCGCTAGAGTTTTGGTATGGAAGCTCATCACACCCAACGATAGAACAGATTAGACTTCAGTCTTTGTCTGTGTCTCTTTCGTCTTGGAACAGCTCAATTTTAGAAGGGAGGTGATCATGAATTCATGATGAACAAAAGGCTTAAGGAACCTCAAGAATGTAGTTATTTTTGTGGTTTTTACTTTGTTACTTGTTTTGTACATATACGGTTTTGTAAACGCATTTCATTATACATGTATTGTAAGATTTTTTTTTTGTGAAATTTGATTTCAATTTATTTATATTTTAAGAGAAATACTTATTAGAAATCAACATACCATAAAGTAAATAATAATACTAATAAAGTAAATACATAGATTACTATAAAACATTTTTACTAAGATAGGATTTATGTTCTTAAGTATTGAACATGAGAAACATGTTTTGATGTTCTTAAGTATTGAAATAAAAGTAGTATGTTTGAGGAAAAACGTTCTATTTCCCCCCGAAAACTATCGTATTTGGCCAGATAAAGCCCGATCTTTGACCTCTGTCTATATACCCATGAAATGGAAGTTAAAATGTTTATTTCCCCACCAATTGAAAGTTCGAGAGCTTAATGTCCATGAATCCTGGTTTCGTCGGTTTAGTACGTATAACCTACTTTTAACCAGATTAAACCCGTTGACAACCCGATTTAACCGAATACATTTAATTTAATTAATTGTATAATATTTTTGGGCAATTTTTATTGAATAATTAAGAAAATAAAAAAGAAAACACGATGGCTTTCTTCTTCGGTGAACGGTGATGTCGATGCCGGTGATGGTGGCTATAGATGTATTTTGCAGCGGCTCCCCTCTTCTTCTTATTCCTCCTCTCCGCCCTGATCTGCTTCACTATTGGAGCTTCATCGGCTTTGATTAAACCCGAATCGAGACCATCCGACATTATCCCATCCAAATTGAAAATTCATCACTGAATCCGCCATTGTCGGCTTGATGGTTTGTGTTGATTCTTTTCTGGGTTTTGTAATTTGTTTCCCGATTGATTTTAAGATGAGAAATCGAACAAACAGAGAGACAATTCAATACAGAGATGTTGATTTGGGGTAATTAGATTGTTGCAATTGAACAAGTTTATCTTCAACCGATTTAACCGATTTGGTTTCGATTTGCTGCGCCATTAGAGTCGCAGCGATGATATTAGCTCTGGAAAAATTTGCTGAAGAAGAAGAAGTTGGGTCGGTTGGGTTTTGTCGGGTTGGATTTGTGGTTAATTAGTTGAAATTGTTGGTTCTAATTAGGTTTAATTGGTTAAAGGATCGGTTTGGTATACAGTAAACCAATTAAACCCAGCGCTGTGGGGTTTTAAATCTCGAACTTAGGATTCATGGACATTAAGCTCTCGAACTTTCAATTGGTGGGGAAATAAACATTTAACTTCCGTTTCATGGGTATATAGACAGAGGTCAAAGATCGGGCTTTATCTGGCCAGATACGATAGTTCTCGGGGGGAAATATACCGTTTTTCCTATGTTTGATCAACAAATAAAAGATTACTATAAAACATTTTTACTAAAATAAGATTTATATCCTAATGCGGTTAGGTTTAAGTGGTAGAGGGATGTTTTGGTCCTATGCTATCAGATCAAAATTCGAATCTAAGCTATTAGTATTATCGGATCCAAATTTGAAACTAAGGTGATATAGTTGAAAATGACTCATTTAAGCTTCATGATTCCATAACAAATATTATTCAAAATTGTGTACATGATCTAAGGACATTAAGCGATAAAGTATAGGTTTTTGTTGTAAGAAAACAAACATTCTGACATGGTCTAATTTGCATATTAATATAACCATATTATATAAAATTTCCCAACTGTCACGAGTCCCATGTAATCAATTATTACTATAAGTCTATAATGCATATTGTTGCCAGAGAGGCAGAGCCGGCCCTAAGCATGTGCTTGTGGCCCCAAATGAATATATATTTTATCGGCCCTTTTATTTTGTGTAAGTCTTATTAGTCTAGTGGTAAGGGACTTTAGAAGTTAATGAGAGATCTTCAGTTCGATACTTACCCCCCATCTGTTGGTCCTAAATTTTTTTGGGCTTGTGGCCCTTACAATTCCTGCGCCGGCTCTGCAGAGAGGTATATTTAAAAAGCTTTTCATCTTTGGGAAAAGCATAAAGTTATGTTCATGAATCTTATAGTAATGTTTTAAAGATAGTCCTTCACAAAACAAGACAAATTAAACGACACAAAGATTCGATGTTGCGGTGTCCTAAAAAGTTCTCTTTATTTGGAGTGTCAAAATCCAACTAAGAACGTGATTCTTTATTTTGTTTTCCTCAAACGCTTTTTAGTTCGACTGTGAAACTTATAATGTCACAACACCGTGAAATTAGCAATAGAGTTTTGTTCATTACGTTCTAAATATCATGATTATCTTAAAGATTAAAAGATACTTACATGTCAAAAGGGCCATCACTTTTCATAATTTAATTCATAAGCACACCATCACTAGTTTAAAGATAATATCATAAATTCATAATAATGCCTTTCTCAGTTTAGCCTTAATCCTAGCTAATGCGTGTCGTTTTGACGAATTCATTAATACGTTGCCGTTTTCAGTGCCCACGAGCATAATATAACGGATATAATGCTATCTTGTCTTGTTTCTCTCTCGATTTCAGAGATTCGCTCGAGTTTCTGACACGAGTGTACTCGCACGTGTCTCATCACTACACTAACCCTACACGTCTCCCTTTCGTGGACGCTCCGTTTGCTTAATCTTCACCGTCAGATCACATCTCAGATAGAAGCCTTTACTCAATCGAACGGTCATTAGCTCATGGAGCATGTATTATTATACGACGACACACACATCGTTATCTCTCTTTTGATTTTTTAGGTGATACCATTATTTAGTTATTATCTTTATGCACAGTTTCGTACTTTCGTTTCGTCACTGTCTTTGAAACTTAAAAGAAAAGAGAAGAAAAAGAAAGAAAAAAAAAAAGATGAAATAATTTTGAAAAAGATTCTAAGTAAAGAAACCGTTAGCCGGCGATGAGAAGGCAGCGGCCATCGGTAGCCACCGCGCGTGATGCGCCGTCTCTGGAGGTATACAATATAATTCCAATTCATGATTTTTTAACGGAACATCCGTCGCTGCGTTACCCGGAGGTTAGAGCGGCGGCGGCGGCGCTTAGAATAGTCGGAGATCTTCCGAAACCTCCGTTTGCTGATTTCACACCACGCATGGACTTGATGGACTGGCTTGGTCTTCTCTTTGGTTTTCAAATTGATAACGTTCGGAATCAGCGAGAGAATCTCGTCCTCCACTTAGCTAACTCTCAAATGCGGCTTCAACCTCCGCCACGTCATCCCGACGGTCTCGATCCCACTGTTCTCCGGCGATTTCGGAAGAAGCTGCTTCGTAATTATACAAATTGGTGCTCGTTCCTCGGAGTGAGGTGCCACGTCACCAGCCCTACCCAAAGCCGTCATCAAACGAACGCCGTTTTGAACCTCCGCCGTGAGCTTCTCTATGTTGCTCTCTATCTATTGATTTGGGGAGAATCTGCCAATCTTCGGTTCATGCCTGAGTGTCTGTGTTACATTTTTCATCACATGGCTATGGAACTCAATAAAGTTCTCGGTGGAGAGTTTGATGATATGACCGGAATGCCTTACTGGCCTTCCTTCTCCGGCGATTGTGCTTTCCTAAAGAGCGTGGTCATGCCTATTTATAAGACGATTAAGACGGAGGTTGAGAGTAGCAACAATGGGACGAAGCCACACTCTGCTTGGAGAAATTACGACGACATTAATGAGTATTTCTGGAGTAAGAGAGCCTTGAAGAGCCTTAAATGGCCTCTTGATTACACCAGTAATTTCTTTGATACTACACCTAAAAGCAGTAGAGTGGGGAAGACTGGATTTGTGGAGCAGAGATCATTCTGGAATGTATATCGAAGTTTTGATCGGTTATGGATTTTATTGCTTCTCTACTTGCAGGCAGCTATCATTGTTGCTACTAGTGATGTTAAGTTTCCTTGGCAAGACCGTGATGTAGAGGTCTAAAAGCTTCTCCTTTGTTTAAATCTATATACCATATAAGAGTGTTGAGTTGTGTGTGTTGGTATATAAAAGAGACTATCCGTTTTTTCTACTTGTAGGTTGCATTGTTGACTGTTTTCATCTCCTGGGCGGGCTTGAGGTTGCTCCAGTCTGTGCTCGATGCTAGTACTCAGTACAGTTTGGTGAGCAGAGAAACTTACTGGCTTTTCATCAGATTGATTTTGAAGTTCGTGGTGGCTGTGGCATGGACAGTTTTGTTTTCGGTCTTCTATGCGAGGATTTGGAGCCAGAAAAATAAGGATGGTGTATGGTCTCGAGCTGCAAACGAGAGGATTGTCACGTTTCTCAAGGTAGTTTTCGTGTATATTATACCTGAGTTATTAGCTCTTGTACTCTTTATTGTTCCTTGGATAAGGAACTGGGTCGAGGAGCTGAATCTTGGAGTTGTGTACTTTCTGACATGGTGGTTCTATAGCAAAACTTTTGTTGGTCGTGGGATGAGGGAAGGCCTAGTGGACAATGTTAAATATACAATCTTTTGGATTATTGTATTGGCCACTAAATTCATATTTAGTTACTACTTACAAATTAGGCCTCTAATTGCTCCGACCAGGGCACTACTGAACCTTAAGAATGCGACGTACAATTGGCATGAGTTTTTTGGTAGCACTCACAGGATAGCAGTAGGGATGCTCTGGCTCCCTGTTATTTTGATTTACCTGATGGATTTGCAAATTTGGTACTCGATCTACTCATCCTTTGTAGGTGCAACAATTGGTCTGTTTTCTCACTTGGGGGAGATCCGGAACATTGATCAATTGAGACTTCGATTTCAGTTTTTTTCAAGTGCTATGCAGTTTAATCTTAAACCTGAAGAGCATCTCCTGAGTCCTAAAGCAACAATGCTTAAGAAGGCTCGTGATGCTATACACAGGCTGAAATTGCGATATGGAATTGGTCAGCCTTTCAACAAGATCGAATCCAGTCAGGTTGAAGCAACTTGGTTTGCCCTGATTTGGAATGAGATAATCCTCACATTTAGGGAGGAAGACCTTATCAGTGATAGGGAGGTTGAGCTGCTCGAGTTGCCGCCTAATTGTTGGAATATTCGGGTTATCCGTTGGCCGTGTTTCCTCCTTTGCAATGAGCTTCTACTTGCGCTAAGTCAGGCAAACGAGCTCTGTGACGCTCCTGATCACTGGCTTTGGTCGAAAATCTGTAGCAGTGAGTACAGGCGTTGTGCTGTTATGGAAGCTTTTGATAGCATCAAATTTGTGATTCTTAGAATTGTTAAAAATGGCACAGAGGAAGAATCCATACTGAACAGGTTGTTTATGGAGATTGATGAAAATGTGGAAAACGAAAAGATAACTGAAGTATATAAGCTGACAGTAGTACTCCGGATTCATGACAAGCTAATAGCACTTCTTGAGCGTCTGATGGACCCAGAAAAGAAAGTATTCAGGATCGTGAATTTACTGCAAGCTCTGTATGAACTCTGCGCATGGGAATTTCCAAAAACTAGGAGGAGCACTGCGCAGTTAAGGCAGCTTGGCTTGGCGCCCATTAGTTTGGATGCAGATACTGAATTGCTGTTTGTCAATGCCATTAATCTCCCTCCTCTTGATGATGTTGTCTTTTATAGGCAGATACGGCGGGTCCATACAATTCTTACTTCTAGAGATCCAATGCATAATGTGCCCAAGAATATCGAGGCCAGAGAGCGTCTTGCTTTCTTTAGCAACTCTCTCTTTATGAATATGCCCCAGGCTCCCAGTGTAGAAAAGATGATGGCTTTCAGCGTGTTGACTCCATACTATGACGAAGAAGTGATGTATCGACAAGAAATGCTTCGAGCTGAGAATGAGGATGGAATTTCCACCCTATTCTACCTTCAAAAAATTTATGAAGATGAATGGGTGAATTTTGTGGAGCGGATGCGTAGAGAGGGAGCAGAGAATGAGAATGACATATGGTCAAAGAAGGTTAGAGATCTTCGCCTCTGGGCTTCATATAGGGGACAGACATTGTCCAGAACAGTGCGAGGGATGATGTATTATTATAGTGCCTTGAAGAAACTTGCCTTTCTTGATTCTGCTTCTGAAATGGACATCAGGATGGGAACTCAGATTGCTCCTGAGCCACGCCGTTCTTACTACACAAATGATGGTGGGGATAACACACTGCAGCCAACACCTTCTCAGGAAATTAGCAGAATGGCTAGTGGTATAACCCATTTGCTTAAAGGGTCTGAGTATGGGAGTGCAATGATGAAATTCACATATGTTGTGGCGTGCCAAGTTTATGGACAACATAAAGCAAGAGGGGACCATAGAGCTGAGGAGATTCTGTTCCTGATGAAAAATCATGAGGCCCTTCGTATTGCATATGTTGATGAGGTCGACTTGGGAAGGGAGGTCGAGTACTACTCGGTTCTTGTGAAATTTGATCAACATCTTCAAAGAGAGGTGGAGATCTATCGTATCAGACTGCCAGGCCCCTTGAAGCTTGGCGAGGGAAAACCAGAAAACCAAAACCATGCTCTAATCTTTACACGAGGAGATGCGATACAGACCATTGATATGAATCAAGATAACCATTTTGAGGAGGCTCTTAAGATGAGGAACTTGTTGGAATCATTCAAGACTTACTATGGCATTAGGAAGCCTACTATTCTTGGAGTCCGTGAGAAAGTTTTCACTGGTTCAGTTTCTTCACTCGCATGGTTCATGTCTGCTCAGGAAACAAGTTTTGTACCTTAGGAAGCGTGTTCTTGCCAACCCACTGAAAGTGAGGATGCACTATGGTCATCCGGATGTATTTGATCGGTTTTGGTTTGTGCCCCGTGGTGGAATTAGCAAGGCCTCAAGAGTTATAAATATCAGTGAGGATATATTTGCTGGATTCAATTGCACTTTAAGAGGTGGGAACGTGACACACCATGAATACATTCAGGTAGGCAAAGGAAGGGATGTGGGTTTGAATCAGATCTCTATGTTTGAAGCCAAGGTAGCTAGTGGTAATGGTGAGCAAGCATTGAGCAGAGACGTTTACAGGTTAGGTCACAGGCTGGACTTTTTTAGAATGCTCTCTTTCTTCTACACAACGGTTGGCTACTACTTCAACACAATGTTGATAGTATTTACTGTTTATGCATTCCTGTGGGGTCGGCTTTACCTAGCACTTAGTGGTGTTGAGAAAATAGCAAAGGATAGGAGTAGCAGCAATGAAGCTCTTGGTGCAATCTTGAATCAGCAATTTATTATTCAACTAGGACTTTTCACTGCACTTCCAATGATTCTTGAAAATTCACTGGAGCGTGGGTTTCTTCCAGCTATATGGGACTTCATAACAATGCAGCTGCAACTTGCATCGTTTTTCTACACGTTTTCCCTGGGAACTCGAACCCATTACTTTGGTCGGACTATACTCCATGGTGGAGCCAAGTATCGTGCCACTGGAAGAGGGTTCGTGGTGGAGCATAAGAAATTTGCTGAGAACTACAGATTGTATGCTCGAACTCATTTCATCAAGGCTATCGAGCTCGCGATTATTCTGTTGGTATATGCAGCTTATAGCCCGTTGGCTAAGAGTTCAATTGTTTACATACTGATGACGATTTCGAGCTGGTTCCTTATTACATCTTGGATTATTTCTCCATTTCTGTTTAACCCTTCTGGTTTCGATTGGCTTAAAACAGTGAATGATTTTGACGATTTCATTGCATGGCTATGGTCTAGAGGCGGGTTGTTTACAAAAGCAGATCAGAGTTGGTTTACGTGGTGGAATGAGGAACAAGAGCATCTGAAAACAACCGGAGTGTGGGGAAAACTGCTTGAGATTATACTTGATCTTCGGTTCTTCTTTTTCCAGTACAGTATTGTGTACCATCTTCGCATTGCAGAGAATCGGACCAGCATTGGTGTATACTTGGTTTCTTGGGGATGCATCATCGGGATTACTGCGATATACATCACAACAATCTATGCTCAGAAAAGATATTCTGTCAAGGAGCATATTAAATATCGATTCATTCAGTTCTTAGTAATTGTCCTCACGGTTCTTGTGGTCGTGATGATGCTGCAGTTCACTAAACTTACAGTTGTTGATTTGTTGATAAGTCTCTTGGCTTTTGTTCCCACAGGCTGGGGATTGATTTCCATAGCTCAAGTACTGAAACCGTTTCTGTTATCAACAGTGGTTTGGGACACAGTAATCTCTGTTGCTCGCTTTTACGACCTTTTCTTTGGGCTGATAGTTATGGCTCCAGTTGCATTGCTTTCATGGTTGCCCGGTTTTCAGAATATGCAAACACGGATTTTGTTCAATGAAGCTTTTAGCAGAGGGTTACAGATTTCTATCATTCTCGCTGGCAAAAAATCCACTTGAAGCAAATATTGGGTATGGATCAGATCTTTATTATATGTTACTGATTACTCTCAAGTACATCCATTAATAAGATTGATTTCATCATATTTGCAGGGTTCTTAAATTTGTTGAATATTAACTGGTCTGAGAAGGTTGGACGATATCCTTTTCTCTGGCAAAAAAGTTTCGCTTGAAGCAGCTTACGGTAGCCTGGTTTAATATCCTCCTCCACCGTTTTGTGGCACTGCACCAGGTTACGAACTTACGATAGCCCGGCTTTTCCTCACGGTGGTTGGCATTTTGGAGTTGATTATTTGACCTTGGTTTGGCGTGTTTATAAACATAGGTATGTATCTATCTTCATTTGCTTTGGTTACTGATTTTATTTTTCAAGACAATACACGATTAATACATAATTCTGTCATATTTCAGGGTTCTTGATTTGTTGAGAGATGGTAATATGACGGAGCCTAATAATGACGGTATGCTTCACACTGCACCGGTTGTTTGTGTCTTGTACAGATTTGACTCATGCATTTGTTAGAAGACTCTTGCTTTAACTCTTATGCACATAGTTTGCTTGTGGAGTGAGATCTTTTGATGTCTTTCACTTTTTTTTTTTTGTTAAGAGTTTCTCAAATCGTTTGTCGATGTTTTGATTCAGATTTATTGCTTAATTCAAGAGTCTCGTAATTACGAAGCATTGTAAGTAAGTTAGTGGGGAAAATCACGATAGAAAAAGCTTTGTAGAAATCATATCACAATTCACAAATATTGAATCAAGAATGGTTTTAACTTTCACAACCCAGAAAAAGTGATAACGTTGACAATAGTCAAGAGCAATCTTTGAACCGGACCGAACCAAACCGAGAAGCAATTACTTTTCCTCAGGCGTCGAATTTTGTGTATATTTTAAGTATTTTGTTGGTGAATTATATTCACTTTGCTAATTCTCCCTTTCCCATCACTCCGGCGAACATGACAGTCGAAACCGTTGATAATGGCGTTGCTCCAAACGGCGATACTTTCTCGAACACTAACGTTACCGTTTCATCAAAGAAGAACAAGAAAGGATCCGAGGTCGATGTAGAAGAAGGGAATGTTTCTGGTGATTCGGTTTTTTCTTGATTTGATGCTGTAATTAACAATGTGTCTGTGGTATTGTGGGTGTATAGCACATATGGATTAAATCAAAAGTGAAAGATTTCATGATGTCAATTAAGCTCTTCCTTATACGTATATATGTGCTTCTTACAGGGGAACATTTGTGATAACCATGAAGCCTGGACTTGTAGGTGTTTCTGAAGAGGAGTCTTGATTATTTTTTTCTATCTATTAATTATGTGGTGTCTGAGACTGTTATTGTGCTTTTCTTGGGTGTTTCTGTATTGTAGTTTAGGAGGATCTTTCACATCTGGAGCCTGTTTTTTTGTTTTTCTGGTTTATTCTTTGCTGTCTTACTTTTCGTTTCATTTGGGTTTTCTTAAATCTTAGTATTCAGTCAAGTTTCTTTGTGTTAGCTGCTCTTTTTTTAACTTACTGACATCTCAACGAGGTTTCGTGTATGCAGGGGAAGCGGGGTATTGAGAAGCAGCCGTTTCACCTTCCTGATTTTATTGCTGCAACCGGAATAGAGAAAATAAGACACATGTCTTCTAATGAACAATTTGATTTAACTAGTCTATTGACCTGTTCATATTTTCTCTAAAAAGTGTTTAGTTCTTATGCCAGAGGAAAAACCATTGAAGTATTTAGTAAAACGTGATATTAAGCAGAATCAGTGTCAGAACGTATGTATATGATAGGCAGTGTCATCCTTTTTTACCTTTCTAAGATACAAAGATCACTGATCTTAATAGCACCACTAACTATCTGGCACTGTTCATTTGATTGTGGTTTTGAGTGATATATACACACATTATGTTGCCGTTCTTACCGTCCTTCATGGGAGCACTATAATCGTTAAATTTTAATCCATGCTTCATTGAGTTAGCTGTCTCATCTTCAGATGTTTAATGCCCATCGTCCTAATAGTTGGATCTGGTTAAGAAAAAAGTTGCTAATATCCTCTACTGGCAAAGCTAATTCTTGTTTGTGTTTCATATGCAGGCTTACATTGAGAAAGAAGATGGTAAGAAATTAAAGCAAAAGAAATGTGAGCGTATGCAACCAAAGATGGGAAAGATGGACATTGACTATCAGGTTTTCCTCGATTGACGGAGACATGTTCACATGTTCTTTCTTTAACTGATAAGTGATGTTATTCCATACCTTCTCAGGTCCTTCATGATGCCTTCTTTAAGTACCAAACAAAGCCTAAGCTGACATCTCTTGGCGAACTGTATTTTGAAGGGAAAGGATTCTTGGTAGTTTTTTGTGATCTCTTTTGTATTTCTTCGGATATTATATGATTTGGCTTTATTGCTTTGTGTACATGAATCCAGTTATCATCTGGTTGATAGGTTAAGCTGAGGGAAACGAAACCAGGAACTTTGTCACATGACCTAAAAGAAGCTCTTGGTATGCCTGAAGGTGCTCCTCCCCCATGGCTAATTAATATGCAGGTGAGTTTATTATGATTTATATTCCTGGTGATTCTGATTACTGTGGAGAAGTTTATTGATTATAACACGTATTGAACAGAGATATGGTCCGCCTCCGTCCTACCCACATCTGAAAATTGCTGGTTTAAATGCTCCTATTGATGGCTGGGGGAAACCTCCAGTTGATGAAGTAAGTCTTTCAACTGTGTCCACAGTACTTGGTCCATTTATGTAATTACTACTATTTTCATTTGTAAATTTTTTATTGTTTCTCTTATACAGCACGGGCGTCCATTGAATGGAGATGTCTTTGGTGTTCAGCAGCAACATCAGCCTAAATATGAGGTAAACCATTTTCGTTTTGCTTTAAAAACTGCATATTATGCCCCACTCGTGTACTGTTTAAATATTGTATGTGGAAGCTACCTATCCATATAGATAGTTGGTGTGGTAGTAAACAAGTGAATTTGAAATTGTAAGGTTCTTGCTGAACCATAAATCCGTAAGGATATATATGATGAATTGTTATTTTGTCAATAACTTAGGAAGAGCCTATCGACAAGAGCAAACTCTGGGGTGATTTGGAGGAAGAGGAAGAAGAAGAAGAGGAGGAGGAAGAGGAACAAGAAGAAGAGATGGATGACGATGAAATGGAAGATGGCATTGTGATTTTTGAAGATACGAGGAGGCAAGGGAAGAAGAGAAATTGCGGAATAAGCCAGAGAGCTTCAGTGACATGGTTGCAGAGGTACTATTGTACAAGCTTTTGAAAAACTCCCAAAGAAAGAAAAACAGTAACGGTCTATAGTATTTTGGAGATTTCATAACACTTTCGATTTATAATTACAGAATGAATTGAAGAGGAGGCGGAAAACTCACGATAAAGAAGGGGAGAAGAAGAAAGACCTCAAATTCTGAACTTTTAGCAGAGAAGAAGAATTGATTTCATCATGAGTATGCATGGGAACCTTCTTGAGAGATTTAAAAAGGTTGAATCAAATTTCTTACCAAGTCTAGTGGCTTTCTCTATGTATACAGCCATTGCTCGAGGCAAAGTTTGGAATGCTTTTGCTCGATTTTCCATTGAATTATTAACAAGATGAACATGAACATGAACTGTTTCTGTCAGCAAATTACTAATTTTTTAAAAATAGTCATTGCAAATAACTATCAGGCATGGTGTAGATATTAATCATGGTCTACTATAGACCGGGATATTTTAGTAATTTGAAAGTCCTTTAAACAAAGGTTCTCTTGTTTATACTTCATACCTAGAGTTCGTTATTGGACATATCCACTAGGCTTTTGTTTTTATGTGCTAAGAGATATGTTCGTCTCGAAATGTCAAAAGACAACATGATTATGTTTTCCTATGAACTCTCAAGCTCTTCTCTCATGGAAGTAAACAAAGAAGAGATCCCACAAGTACATAATCTTTTTCAATCCGAAGAAGATGAAGAAGATACTTCTTTAGGAAAGAGAAAGATAAGTAAGTTGTTCTATTACAAAACCCATCAACTCAAGTTTTAGTGTTGTGCTGTCTGATAAATTTGACTCCAATAGTTCGATCACAATGATTTGATATTGACAGATACGAATATTAAGACCGAAGATGAAAGGGAAGTAAAGAGAATAGCCTTCTTCTCTCAAGAACCTCTAGAAGAAGGAGAAGAAGAAGACATTGATATGATCGAAGAAGATACAGAAAGAGAGGATCATAGAGATGATAACGACAAGATCATGGAAGATAATGTTCGTGAAGAAGAGTCTGTCGTTGACTTTGATGGATTCTTTTGAAACTTCTCTTCTCTAAGATGGTCTCTACGTTGACTTTTTCGTTTCTTAAGATCATTTGCTTGATTGCTTCTTTGTCATGTAAATATATTATATATATATATATATATATATATATATATATATATATATGAAATGAAAAAAAATGGTTTCTGTCTCTTTGCATTGGTCCAAAATCAAAACTAGAGACACACAAAAAAAAGTATTGTAAACCATCTTCTAGCATCAATCTCTTCTTGGTTTCATTGAGTAAAACATGTGATGAAGCTTTTTTCTGGTTTTCAAGACATGATCGATGATTCGGTTTGATCAGGTTCTGTTTGAATCTCATGTGCAAGTTGTCTTGTTAAACAATCTGCTCGTTCGTCGTGACCTCCTGCAAATGTATAAACTTTGAAAGCAAACTGAAAAGCCCTCCATAGCCTCTTAGCTCTCTCTTCCTTCATATTACTCATCTTGCTTTCTTCACTGTTCTTCGCTTCCTCGTTCGCTTCTCTCCTCTCCTAGAAAACATAAAGAGTCAAGTTCATCGCCAAGAATCAATTTCTTGATTTATGTGTATAATTTACCTTTAGTGCTAACTCCATGCAATTTGATGAAACATCAACCATAGTTTCTTTGACTTGAACAAGAACTTGGAAATCGATGTTAATGTTGTGCCTCTGAAACATTTTAGCGTCTTCGTCTTTTGTTCGCTCAACCGTTTCAATCTCTCCTTTAAATTTGTTGAAGTAACGCTCTATCTTATCGAGAAGATCGTTTAATGGAGGCTCAATTTTCCAGTTCTTGAGCTCAACTAGAATCCCATCTAACTTCTTGTACAAGGCACCAGCTGTTCTTATTACTTCTAGTTTCTTCTCAGGGAAACCTTCAAACCTCGCGAGAACCTAAACAATCAAACGATAGTTTCATATTTCGAGAGAAATAGCGAGTCGATTTTAAAACACAAGGAGAAAACATACTTGAGTTTCATCAGTTAGTTTCTCAAGAATAGATTCCACTTTGCTATGAAATTCAAGCAACTCTTTCATGTCTTTTGTCTGGAAACTATGTATTGTAGATTTCAATTCTTCGATTGATTTAGCGTATTTCTGAACATCTTCTTCGATTTGCTGGAAATAACTCGACCTATGACACAAATGAAAGACTTAGCCAAACTCAGACATATATATTTAACTTTTGACGCAAGTCATTTACCTCTTTGTCATCTCTGCAAGTGCATCAGCCATTCCTGATCTTGCACCTTTAACAGGAGATTTCTCTGCAACATTCTTTTTCCCTTTACTTGCTTTTGTTGTTTTCCCTTCTACGCCACGGCCTTCAAGCTTCCCTTTGAGAACCCAATAGAGATTTGCGATTTGTGCTGATCTTCTTAATTTGCTAGTTGCTTTCTTTAATGATCTTCCGCTTCCCGGTGGCGCAGGAGGGGCCGGCATCGAAGGAGCATTGTCTCCATTTGTAGATTGCAGTTTAGGACATTGACAAAACTCTCCACTTTCAGATGCTTTTGACATAGGAGGCGGCGGTGGAGGAGCTGGAGCTTTGTGTTCCGGTTCCGACTGTGGTGATGGAGGCGGCGGTGGAGGAGCTGGAGCTTTGTGTTCCGGTTCCGACTGTGGTGATGGAGGTGGTGGTGGTGGTTGTGAGAGAAGAGTAGATTTCGTATTGAACATTGAGACCGTTGGTGACGGCGTTTGCGGTGATGGAAGTGGTGGAGGTGGAGGCAAATCTTCTTTTTGAGAATATTCTGTTGAGTTAGTCTCTGAAGTTGTGGTTTCACTATGATCCTCTGTTTCAATCTCATGCTCTGTTTCGAAACCTTCAATATGATGCTCTGTTTCACAACCTTCGCTACTATCCTTTGCTTCAATCTCATGCTCTGTTTCAGAACCTTCGATTTCATGCTCTGTTCCAGAACCTTCCCTATGATGCTCTGTTTCTAAAACAGAGAAATCATTATCTTCTTCTTCTTTTTCTTCTGCTAATATCTCACTCTCTTCGTTTTCTTCTTCGATACCAATCTTTGTTTCATTAACACTCTCTGAATCTCTTTGTGACAAGATCTGCATAGCAAACCGCTTTAAATCAACAGGGCTTAACCTATCCAAAGCTTGAGCTCTTAAGTTCCATAGACTTGGAGATGTTGAGTTACTAGACAGTAGCATTGTCCCTGGAAGTACTGATCTTGGTGTTAATGGAGATGGATAAAAAGAATTGTTACTTTCTGAATAAGAAGCAGATCTTGTAAAGCTTCTTCTTGCTTCTGATGAAACACCTTTTGGTGTAAAACTCTTTCTTCCTTCAGATTCAAGATCCATCATACCAAATCTTTCTCTTGTTGTCTTGATTAGTCCATCAAGAGCTGCTAATACATGCTCCACTGCAAACAAACAAACAAACAAAATAGTCCATAAGAGTTCTGTATTACATTTTAGGGTTTTTTTATTCAAAAAAAGTGTTTAGTTAACAAACCTAGACGATCTGACTTATTCTTCCCAACTCCACTGTTTTTGTACTTAGATCGATAAATCCAGTCACTATCCATAATCCAAGAATCCCCAATAGCTCTGAGATCTTCGTAGAAGAATATTAACATCTGTTTTTGGGCATTTCTGGGATTCATCAATCAGATTAACAAGACTCATCAAGTAAACAAACTCAAGATTTTCTTGTTGTTGTTGTTGTAGTTGTAATGTTTGTTAAGTAACTCAAAATCTGTTTAAATCCTCTGTGAACGTACCTTATCCATGTCAGCTCCTTCCATTTCAAAAGATTGATTAATGGTTACAATCTCAGGAGAAAGCTTTTGTAGATCTTTCATCGTTTGTGTTATAATCTAAAAACTCGAAAGCAAACAAGACATTAGGGTCTTAGCTTTTAGACCTTAGTACAATCTCAAATAGATTGTATAAAATTATTATTTTTGCTACTGACCTCGGTGACAGATAAAGAGCCATCAAGAGAAGGTAAATCAATCATATCTCTAAAAGCAAAGATGTTCTTCCTTAATTCCACCATCAAAATGAAATTTGCTGAACATTTCGGCGAAGAACCCTCCAAAGTGTTCTTTTTCGGTGTATTGGCTTTCTTCTTTCCATTCTTTACTGACAAAGGAGACGCGGTAGCACGGGGAGTAGAAACATGTTTTGTAGAATTGAAACTCTTTGGAGAAGCTTGTGCAACAGAAGAAGAGATTTGTGAAACTGTGCGTTTGATCTCTTTATTTTTCTTTTTTTCGACATTGTTCTTCTTTGATGTTGATGCGCGTCTAAATTCGTGTTTTCCCTTGATAAGCCTTTTTAGAGCAAGTCCTCTTGCGACCTAAAAACAACATTATAAAGACTAAAATTTTAACATGGTAAGGCAAACACAAATGTAAATATCGGTCTAAAATACATTAAATTTCTAAAATGTTTTCAGTTATCTTTTGATATAAAAAGTATTTAAAATACAAACACAAATGCCAAACATATACAGTAAGCACAATTCTTGTTTGCATATTGCGTTTGTGCTATTAATTCATTTGGAGAAAACAATACCACAAAAATTTGATGTTTACTACATATAAAAGACAAAAACAAAAATAAACCTGCAATCTTGAGATCTTGCGACAGAAGGTTATCGGCGTGAAGCCGCAAAGCCTCCCGCTTGACATCGCGAGGTTTGAAATCGAAAAATCGATTTCTCAACCAAAGTATTATTTAATCAGGAGAATCCATTAGAAAGAGATCAGATTCTCTCTTTCTTAATGAATATTTTCAGGTGATTCTGTTAAAAAAGGTGCGCCAAGAAAGAAAGATTTGTGTTTTTCTTCAACCCTTTTCAACAAAGAATGAAAGAAAATCTAGGAAACAAAATCAGTCCGGAAACAAAATCTCTCTCTTTCTCTATCTCTAACTCTTATGGTTATTATTAGAAAAGTTTGAAATGAGAAAAATCTTTGACTATATTTATCACTGCTCTTAATTCTATCAAAACACTTTAGATTCTCCTAAGGCTATTCTAAATATTGTAGAAGCAGAGACTATATATTACCGTTGGAGGTTAGCCGTTATTCTTAGGTTTACTAAGAGCTTTTTTTCTCAACGGTTGAAAATAATCAAATCAACTTAACAAGCTGAAGAAATATAAGAAAGGAAACAGGGAATCGAAAGACAATTGGCATAAACCTATTTAGTTTCTTGAGAAAGAAGCAACCAATTCAAGTGTGTGGATTGAGTCATAAACCCCTAACTAATGTTTTTTCTTAACAGGCCAGCACAGTAATATCAACTCCAAAATATTATGGGTTTTATATATACAGTTGTTAACAAAATAAAATTGGGTCCCAAAATATAAAGAAATGTTAATTATGTTAGAAGGTCTATGTTGATGCAATTCTTAGGTTTATTAAGTTTCCCGTCCACGGACTCCATCCCCAACAACCCCTTGGAAGCAAGCAAGTAGGCAACCCTCACGACTACATGATCAGTCAGATCAGCATATATCATGTCGTATGGTTCTCATAGCGCTAGCGAAAATATAACTCAAAACGAGTGTCGTGAACTCGTAGTAAATAATTGAGTATATAAGTGAACAACGAATATTTAACTTTTGACCTTCCAAATGAAAATTTATAAGTCAAGATTCAAATTGTAATGCATTAATGTAATTTTTTTTGTCACTCGACTTGGATGTGACTTGGTCAACGTCAAATGACTCATAGCCATGCACTTTAATTGATGGTTTATGTCAATGTAATGACTCATGGTGATGTGTGTGCATATGACCGATTGAGATCTTTAGGTGATGAAAATCCAATCTTCAGTCCACAGGTAAGAGTCCTCGAAACTTCATGAGATTATTATAAAAAAAAAAGATATCTTAGCTGTATTGTTACAAATTTTCCACGCTAAACTACATTTTAATTATAGCTATACATAAAATACACTTTCTGCCAATTATGATACAGTCAAACAGAACACATATCCTAATTGATGAGCCAAACAACTTATGCATGCATAATTACATGCATGCATGCGTGACGCATTGAGTTTAAATTAGAATTGAGTTTGTTCTGTTAGTTGAAGATCGATATCATTGCAAAACTCATAGCCTATATAAAAGGTATTGTTAAATTTGATTACAGATTTGTGTTTTGACTTTCGTTTACGATCGAGATCAGACTGCTCTTAAAAAATGATAGATTATTGACTTTTGTTAGTATCGACAGGATTGTACATTCGGCTTCTTCAGTTAATTCCGTTCAACAAAGTAAGTGTAACAAAAATTTAAATAAAAATATATTTGAACTAAAATGTGATTTTTTTTTTTATGAATTTTAATATTATGTTCGATATATTAGGTTGATCGGTGTAAAAAAAAATGTTGGATTGTGTAGATTGTAGAAATAATTTTTTGTTTGGTTTTAACTTGTATTAATTATTCAATTCGGTATGATTTATTTTATCCTAGATATTATATGTAAACCAATGCATGCGCTAATTGTACATGTGTATTCACTATGTAAAAATGGCTATACATTTTTACACAGTATTGCCATGCAACGTCAGGAGTGTAAATTAAGTATATTTACTTGACTTCATATGCGTGTACATTAAGGCATGCATATTATATATATACACATACACACTAGGATACTAGCTACATGTAAGCATGGTTAAATTTTCGCCCTTTGGCTTTTAATATTGCAAATTAAAATAAGTTTCTCAAAGGCCATATTATTGACCAAGCTAGCTGGTCTATTTAAAAATTAGTTAATACTAGCAAATATCATTAGGTCTCCATACTTTACAAAAGAAAAACTCATTAGGTCGCCATCTAAACTTACGTTGCTCATATAATGAAAATGCAAAACAATTGGAAAAATGCAACAAGATATTTATAAGTTATTCTCATTTAATATTCAAAAGTACATGTAGTATTATATGCATACAGTCTTCGATGAACTTCAATTCCATGAGTTCTTGGAAATTTTATCCACATTAGGGATTTTTAATAGTTGGGGACAAATTTAAAACGATATAATCCTTAAAAGGACAAATAATTTCAAATTATTAATTCTTTTTCATCTCTTAAAATATACTTCTCAGCCTTATCTAGCTCGTATAGATTTCAATCAAGAATCATAAAATAATACTAAGATATCTTCTGCCGTGAGATATGATAGAACTATATAAATATCTTGACCTTGTCAAATAATCAATAGTGTCGACATGAGTTACATTACATATCTAATCAATTTACATGTTTTTCCAAACCATCTTTAAATTATTCGATCGACGTATATATTAAATTTCCATATCTAAATTCAATTTCCATGCATTAGTTTATATTCCAATTAGTGACTAATTTTTCGTAGGTGCTGCTAAAAATAGTAATCAATGATATGATAAATTTGGCCAATGGTATATTAAAATTGAATAATATATGTGCTCGAGGTTAGATTTATTAAAACAAAACAAGTCTTTATTTATATTAGAATATCAAAATTGTACTAAGTGTTTTTTGGTCAAACATATACAACGAATAAAAAGACGGAGTTTTCAAGTCTCTAACTATGGATGAAACAAAAAAATTAAATCGAAATTTAACGGAACAATTAGAGGTATTAATATATATATATATATATATATATATATATATATATATCAATTAAATATATTTTCACTCATCACCTTTTGGTTTTACTTTTATACATATGCAAACCATGCAAAGACTTTAAACTGGGACAAATATATATGTAAGGGCAAAAAAAACACAAAAGAGAGAAAACAATTTAGAGAAAAAAAATTAATGTCAAACTCGAGGACATGGATCATCTCTTCAGGATTAGTCGGAGCCATATCACTGATGCTCCGATCGGTATTGAACTTCTCCTTCACCGGAGCTCGCTTCTTTCTCCCTACTAATTTACACCCTATTTTCATCATCAGCGGCATCATCTTTGCCCTCGCAGCCTCCAGTTCACTCTTCGGCAACGGATCTGACTCTCCGGCCACAAATTATCACCATGATGATGATACCTATCATTATGAACAAGATCATCATCATGACCAGGACCATGATCGTGGTCGTGACCAAGACCGCGAACGTTATTCTAACAACTCATCCAACTCCTCGTTTGATCAATACAATAATAAGGTTCACGAGAAAGAAAAGTTTTCGGCCGTGAGATCATCAGAGAGGGGAGGATCTTATGGAGTTTCTTCTCCGGAGATTCGTTTTCCGTCCACGGCGCCGGAGAAACCCGTCGGTCTTCGACGTCCACCTACTGCTCCTGTAAAGACTTTTCGACAAGGTATCTTTTGACACATGCCGTCGCTAAATATTTGTAGTTTCCCTGCAAATTCTTTTATTACAAATATATTTGAGTTCCAGTTTTTATTTCCACGATTTTCTTAACAGTTTTTGTGTAAGTTTTGTTCCAGAGTTTCAGTTTTTTTTTTTTTTTTTTTTTTTAGTTCGTACTTTTTACCCAATTAGAGAAAATCATATGTTTAAACTTTAAACATAAACCAGACCTTTTTCTTGTTAAAGATTTAAAAAACGTAAACTAAACTGAAAATCTGTTAAATGAAAAGAAAAAAAAAAATTAGAAGATCTAAGAAATTCTAAATAATACTTAGTATTTTTGTTAAGGAAGTATATGAGACTTAGGGTAATAAAGATAAATTATTCATTTACTTAGAAAAGTAGAGTTAAGTCATCTCGTAATGAACAATGAATTTTACGTTAACTTTGATTTAAAAACTCCAACTTCGTATATATAACGTTATCATCAGACAACACATCGGGTGACGATAGCGAGACCATGGAGGAGATGTGGGAGAGAGTCAAAGCCGAAAAACAACCAAAGAAACCTGCTAACTCGTTGCAAAACCACGTCATCTCCAGGGGAGACACAAAAATGTCCACATCTTCATGGCCGTTGCCGTCGCTGTCACCGTCGCGAACGAGGAGGCCTACTCCCTCGCTGTCTTCGCTATCGCCGTCATCGTCGCGAGCGAGGAAGCCTCCTTCGTCTCCGGCGCGGCCGGGAAAGAAATTGATGGAGAGAATTCCGTCGTGGGTGAAGTTGAAAAAAGAGTTATCAATGGGAAGAGAGGAGCTCAATTCACGAGTGGAAGCTTTCATTACAAAATTCAAGGATGAGATGAAATTGCAGAGGTTGGAGTCTGTAAGACGTTACAAGTCTTTCCGTGGTGACAACGATGAAAAGTAAAAAAAAAAAAACTTTATAATCGACATTTAACGGTGACTTGTCTTCATTGTATCATATATGGTTAGATGTATGTTATGGTCAGATATGTGTATGTCTTTAGATTTAGTTATGTAAGTCGTGACCAAAGCCACCACATATTGCTATATTCATCTTGTTTTTACTTGATCACATTGTCTAAAGTGACTATATGTGTATCTCTCTATAATCATTATGGAAGTCAAGATGGATTTTAGTTCCAATCCACGTGTGTTCACATATTAATGTTTAAGGTTAATGGCGAGCTGATCACCTCCCAAATTCATGTTTCAACAAAACACATATACCAAAAAGGAACTAAATAATGTTTTGGTTATAAAAGAATTATTACGTAAGTTGATAAGATTTAACATGTAACTTCTAGTTATTGATGACTAAAAAAAGAAGGAAAAACAAACATACAACTTTTTAGTCAAAACTTAGTGGAAAATTGTAGTTTATCTTCCTTTGGGTTAAATAATCTAAGACATGTAAACTAATGCAACAACAAATTTTAATAGCCATAGACTAGCTTATGTAAACTAGGAACACCATAACCTAGGGTTTTAGATTTTGAACGACCTTTTGAAGAATGCCTATTTTGAGAAACACGAAACTAATTCGGGTATCCGTTCGAGTTTGGTTTGGATTTTCGTGTTTAGACTCATAAATCCGTTCGGGTATTTATAATATTTTGGTTGGATTCCGTTCAGATCCTATTGGATTCAGTTAGAATTGGATTTTACCTTTTGGAGTCTCTTCCTTTGGGAATCAACTTGGTTCCAGTCCAAAATTACTCAAAAAAACTACCAAAAATACTAATAAGTATACGAATAATCTAAAAGTTTTGGTTACCGAATAATCTTAAAATATTGGTCAAAACCAACAAAACTACTTTTAAAGAGGGAAATTAAAAGTAACCATATTTTCCTTTTTGAAAATTTTTATTCTAGGACAAATAGAATCATAAAAGAAACAGAGTAATCTATAACTCAATAACATTCAAAATATAAAAACAATTTAACAATAAAAATAGTAAATATGTGTTGCTAGCACAGTCGATTTCACAAGGATAATGTGAAACTATAAATCATGTTATAGTTAAATATCCACCAACGAGTCACACACAAATCTCTATTGCAAGAATTGTCTTCATTGAACAATCAACATCCACGTTTCTCTTACAGTCCTTATATCTTGCTCACCTAAACCACAAATCAATTTTTGAAATGCAGTTTTTCTTTTTATGGTTTTTTTAATTGGATTTAGCTTTCTCCATTGTCTCATGATATTCCTCCCATATATATTCAAGTGAAAAATCTGTGTGAACTCAACGGAAGAAGAAAACACCAATTTTTCTCGATTTTGTGTTGGAGTCTTAGTTCGACAACCAGAGAATCAAAAAATATGTGACAGATTCTTCTTCCGCTGAATTCCCACACATCTTTCACCTGAATCATTGGGAGGAATGTCAAAAAAGCAATGGATATTTCTACCGCCAGTCCAATATGCCGCCCGACGACTTTCATACAACGATAATATAGAAGCAAGCGACATGTAGAAGGTGTAAGCTGAACTTATGAACTCAATTATATCATGACTATGAGCAACCACAAAATAACAACTTCCAAGGAAAAATGACGACAACGTGCGACATAAGCTTCGAGAAGCCAACAAGAGAAGGCGGACGAAGATAATTTGAAAGAAGCTCAGCGGAAGTTCCAAGGATTAGCTGCTAATTAAGGCTGAACTACCACCTTTTTACTAACAAAAATTAAAAATTATTAGTAATTTATTTATATAACTAATTCAAATCGGTCGTTAATTCGTCATTAGTTAAATACGAATTAACGACCAATTGTTTTTTTTGGTTAGTCGTTAAGTCAGTAGTTCATTAACAGCAAAGTCTTTACAAGGAAAAAGTTACAACGAATTAACTACATACGACATAATTAATGTTTACAACGTACTAAAATAAGAAGGTTTAAATCCTAAACCGCAATTATAATCCCAAATTTATTGCTATATTGACGTAAATTAGCAACGACCAACGTTATTTTAATGACCAAATTATCCTACCTATGTTATTTCATTGGAAAGTTTACAATCGATTTAACGACAAAATCTTTTCAATGAATGAATGATGAATTTAGTTCCTCGGCAAAGTTAGGACGAATTTAAGTCGAATGTAGATTTACGTAAATCAATTTACGACTAATTCATTTTAATCAATAAATTGATGCACATCCCCGTTTCCAACGAATTAAACATGTCTTCTTGTAATGAGAAAGCTAAATCCAAACTAAAAAGTCATTGAAAAAAACTGCATTTAGAAACTAACCGACAAAAGGGTTGTAAGTGAAGCATTGGGATGATTGCTCAATGCATCATCCAATATCCTCTTTGCTTCATACTTCACTACAACGATCGATATTTCTCTTCTAGTTTTCTTTATGATGCTTTCCACTCTGGATCTGTCTATTTGCATCAATTTTTCGTAGAATTAGTACCATCACGTCTTTTTTATGTCTCTGAATTCAGTATCTACAAGATACATAAAGATTGATCAGAAGACAGATTAACCAAGGTTGAAACATAGCAAATGCTTCTCAAAGAAAAACTTTCCAAATTTCATCTTAAACTCTTGTACAATAATGCTGAAATAAAAATTGGAAAAGCTTTTATCCTTAGTAAACTCAATGGTTTATCTACAAAACTAAATGTAGATAGCAATTTCAAATCGATGAAATGAGATATTTGAATTGATGATATCCACAAATCTCTATAAATTTGTTGCAAATTAAAATTTTAAAATGTATAGAGTTTGTGAGCGAAAGTTCTTTACTTAATAAAACAAAATATATATATAGTTTGTGACCAAAACTCTGTTGAAAAACAAAAAACTTGAAACTTTTGAAAACAAATTTGGGTTTTAAAAACAAATCTATATCTAGATTTTAATAAAATAATGCTTCTAAAATTGAATCAGCAAATCTCTGCAAACACAAAGATTTCAAAATATATAAAAATGACAAAACAAATGAAATAGCAATACTAATTATGCCAATTCGAAAAAAAAACTGCATTAAAACAAAGTATAATTGATTAGACGATTTGCGAGCCAAAATTTGTAAAGACTAAGCTCGAATAGACATTTCGCTCGAAAATTGGTTAGAAGACTTACGAAAACATATTCATATCTCAAAAGAAAATATTGTTTCTAGATCATAAGATCTCTAAAACATTTACCATGAATTAAGTATACATGATCTCTTTCTTTTGCCTCAAATATATTACACATCAGTGATTTAAAAAAAAAAAAACACTCAATTGAATCCACAAAACCAAAGTAAAATTTCTCTAAAGTCTTTTTGTTTTTATAAGAGATTTATTATCTCATAATAGTAATTACAATTTCTTTGGATTTTTTCTCTTTTTGATTATTCTTAAATATGGATATTTATTGTCATTTTAAGGTAATAGAAAAAAGGTGGTCAAAGAAAAATAACTCCGGGTGTTAAAAATGTGAATTGTGGACCCTTTTCACATAATATTTCTTACCTTGTAAAATGTGAATGATTTTTTTCCATTTTTCTGTCCGTCTTTTTATTTTATTAGTCTTTTCTATTTGGAGGTTTTTCTCTCTCTTCTCTCTCTAAATTTTTTAGAGAGAGAAAGCGATTCTCGGCAAAGGCAAACTCTTTTTCAGCATCGATCGATTTCTTTTATCGGTGATGGTTGGCTCTCTTCCAGCATCAGCCAGCTTTTCTAGCAGCGGTAGCTGACTTGCGGTCGTGTGGGACACGTATATCAGGTTTTAAAAATCCCAAATAACACGATCAATAAGCTGCAAGTGCACAACAGTCAATCGTAGTACTTAGGGTATCGAATCCACATAGAAAGAAGTAGTTCGGACAAGTTTATTAAGACAAAGTAAAGCTAGGACAAAACAATAAAGGAGAGTTGGTTGTGGTGTCACGAATGCAAGTAAAAGTAAATGAGAAAGCAATAAGAAAGCAAAGTAGAAAGCAAGTAAATAACGTAAGAAAACTATGAGAGACAAACATTGGGCATCAAGGGTATCGCAGGGAGTTCAATGATCGCTATCTAAGTAATATTATAATTAGGTTTGTTTACTTCCAAGTCTCGGACATACGAAACACTAAGATTCGGCTAACCCTATGTTATAGAATTAGTCGACTAAAATCCTTATACTCTGTTACTCAACTAACGCAGGCAACGACGCACATATCAAAGCAATAAGATCAAGTTCGATTCTAGTCCATAAAGCCCTATAACTAAGTGGTGTGTGCTTGTTATAACACGATACACATTCGTAAGCTAGGTCTAGCGTATTAAACAACCTTGTGAGCAATTTAAACACTTGGGATCACGAGTTAGGACATGAATATAACTACATGCATTAAGAAACAACTTACTTAGAAAGAATACAGTGTAAACGATCAAACAAAACCTAGATATTGCCACCTAAACGATCGGCCATATTCCCCCTTTGATTTACCCTTTAAACCCAACTAGAAAACTACTCTAGCATGGTTAAAGAGATCATCAAAGTAAGGTTTGATAAACTCATAAGAAAGAAAAGAATAAGAACTGAATAGGGTTTAGAGATTACTTCTTTGAATGTAGAGTACAAGAGGTAAGACTTCACCTTAATAGATCTTAGAGAAAACAAGAGAAAAGAGAGAGAGATTTGGTGATTCTTCAAAGCTTCAAGGTCGACGGCTGCAGGACAGGGACGAGCTTGGCGGAGAATTGAGAGGCACTTTGAAGACACGTGAAGGCACCCCTAGGTTTAGGGCTTTCAACCTGTATTTATAGGTTTCGGGAACCAAGGGTGGACAAAAACGTCTTTTCCCGTATATTAGGTTAAGTGCAACTCGCATCTCTAGACAGGGTAGAGGCTATAGTGACCGGGGTGGTGAGTGAGAGGCAGCCCGGGCTCAGCCCAAGTGGCCGGGGTGGTCAGGAAGCTCCGGAACGGTTGCACAGCTTCTGGCCGGTCTGGACATGTCTTCACTCTTCTGGTCATAACTTCTGAACGGCTCAATGAAAAGCTCTGATTCCACTTCGAGGAAAATTTTTACTCTTCTAGCTTTCCATAGCCACCAAGATCTCTTGATTTAGTAACCGGGAAGACCTCTAACGGATGCCATACTTCTGACGTACAGAAACTGTCTTGAAACGGGTTTTGATCGCC